AAAATTCAAATTGGTTGAGACGCTTTTCTTTTAGATAAATCAAATAGAATTTCTTTTCTTCTAAATACTCTAGCTTGTACACATTATCGAGCTTTTAAATGCAACTGTGACAATGACAGGCCCAAAACAGAGCTATCAGATAATGAGAATATGAAAAATAAATATATAATAAAATTTACCTTTGTGACTGCAATCTTTGTTTTCCAGGGAAAACAGAGTGACGTCATGCAGATCGTCATTCAGTAACTGTACCCGGATGTGACTCTCTTCACAGTTCCAACACAAGAAACTGGTGCAGGTACGGCAATATATTCGCACCTCACCTTTGGTCCCGCACTCTTCACAGCTCAACTCTTTGACATTGAGATCCATTCCGTTAACTCGCATACATTGCCTTAAGAGATTCAATATCGTATCGTTGCTGACGGGTGTGCTTTGAACTTTACAAAAAAGACATACGCACGTCGTGGATGCCGTGTGAGGGTCTTCTCGAGCCAGTAGCAATTTTACACACGCGTTACACACAGTATGACCACATCCAGAGAGAAGTCGGGGGTGATGTTCCTCAAAATCGTACTGCATCAGACAGATGGGGCACTGTAATATTGCCATCATGGGTTTTGTCGATCCCCGTAAGGAAACGTTCTCCAACGCCAAAGACGTCCTTACTTTTTCATCATGGCAGATTGCCATCTTTTTATTGTTTAATGTCTGTATTAAACCCGATCGATGCCCTCTGCTCTACTCCACTTCGTTTTCCTTTAATATCGGGAAATATTTCTGAAAAATTTTTAAATTAGTCCGTCTCTTTTTAATGAATTAGGCCTACTGCTGCTAACTCTAGTGAAAAGCACATTATACAATACAGGCCGTGACCGTGCAATGCTTCACCTCTTATCTTGCGTCGTCTTTTTGATTCTCGTCTCCGGATTCGTGAAAAATGTTGTCTAATCACTTGAGGAAATATCTCCGAGATCCACCCCAATCAACCAAATACGCAAAAGTCCGCTAAGAGATTTAGAAGAAGTCAGCGAGCGTCGTTGTTATTGCTTTCAGTTGGTTGTCACAAGGCAGGTAATATGGTAAGAACTTAATATACACATTGCCCCTTCAGGATATGAACTGTCCATCACATGAGGATGACACACATGCGTATGCTGTGTACATTAATGTCGTCACCGGTCTCCATTCTTGAAACAGAAGTACTGCGTAAATAGGTGTTGACAGAGATAAGCGTGTGTTGACGGGGTTCAAGCGCACATCTATTGTCGTTGTCATATCAGTATAGACTTTATCTTGACATCGTAGGCCTACGTATGATGCTACTTGACCCTCATAGACTGTGTTACAACAGGCTTCCAGCCAGGTGACGCAGGGGGTGGGGTGGGGTGGGGTGCCCTTTGGCTGGAAGAGATTCACTCTAAACTATGAGATACGATAGAGTTTCGTATGTCCTAACGTACTGTACATCAAAATTTGATCTAAAGGGGGCAGTTTTACAGATCTCCCTTTTGCAATAACTGGGTACGTGCCTGATGTTCGTGCATGCAGTGCATTATACTGTATACACAAGAATGTATGTAACCATTAGTTTTTATCTATTAATACAACATTTGGCTGGTATTTACTTTACAGTAAAAGGCGCAGATTACAGATTAAATACATGTATCATGGTTATATAGTATAAGGAAAACTACTTCTCACAACTCTTATCAAAGTGATTCAAGTGCACAACTTACTGATTTATCTAAGACTATAGTGTGATACATTCCACTGGCGATAATAAGGGCGTATTCCCAGAGCTTTTAGATCGATCTATCCCCGCGGGGAGTTTCACTAGATTACTGTCAGATAATCCGGCTTAAATGTCCGTCCCGCTTACTACAAGCTGTAAGGGGGTAATTAACTTTCGTGCCCGCTCGGCTGACAGCTATTTAGCGTGAACCCTCATGGAGTTAGGTCGATCTAAGGTAGATCGATCTAATCTCTGGGAATGGGGTCTAAGACGCAGAAAGTTGAAAATTTACATCGTCCTCTATTATATGTATTATGTTCATAATAATTTCGTCTCTCACATACGCGCACGCAAACGCCCGCACACAGAGTACGGTCTGAGCTGTGAAAAGGTGTGTTGGGAGGGGGGGGGGTCGTATCTACCTCGAAGCATAGTAATAAATCACTAAGTAAGCAATTGGTAACTTATAACACGTGTTTATGTTGTCACTAGAATTTATAAACAGTTACACTAGTATTCACCATCGTGTGATTTTTAGGCAGCGGAGCGGGAAGCCTGTCCAGGGCGATAAGATTTGTGAAAGAATTTCTGAAACATCTATGGTTTTATTTAAACGGTGTTTGTAATAATCACACGTTTGTTAGATGTAGGTTGTATCGAGATACTTAGTAAGTCCACATTACGAAAAATGTAACTCTGGAAAATCACCCAGGAAAAGCGTCAACGCTATGAAACGGGAGCTCAAGTTATAATTTGATACACAAGCAGCAAGCTGATTGGATTCAAGGAGAGTCTCCATAGCTGGTGTCTATGGGTGCTTTCCCAGAGATTAAGATCGATCTAAAGATTAAGTTTTAGATCGACCCAACTCCCTGGGGGTTCAGGCTAAATTGCAGTCAGCCGAGCGGACACCATAGTTAATTACCCCCTTACAGCTTTTAGTAGGCGGGACAGACGCTTTAGCCGGCCAAGCTGACAGTAATCTAGTGAGACTCCCCACAGGGATAGATCGATCTAAAAATCTATGGAAATGGGGTGTAGGGGAATGGCCTTGGCTAACTAATATGTTTTAATGCTGTTATTCCACTGTTTACTTACATGCTGGGAGAAGTAACCGGCTCATAGCACCTGTTCATTCAGTAATACACCTGTGTAATTTAACAAACTAAAATCTGATCAAATTATTGACACTGACAGCTGTTCTGTTGTTTGATTATTTTTAAGTACCAGTAGATGAAAATAAGTTTTGTGTGTTCCACGTGAATTCCTCACCAACCATGTACGAGGGAGATGGCAAACGACACTCTGTTACATCAACAGGTTCAGAGACACCGTCTATTTCAGAAGAAAATATTCTCCATCCCGCAGACAACTGAGAGTTTACACCTGGGTTGTTAGCCAAGGTTCTCAAAGGGGTGGGTGATTGGATGTCATTGTCATCGTCAGTTTTTCTACGTTTATTTTTCATATAGTTGGTGTTGTGATTTGGTGAACTTTTTGAAACAACATCTTCATCAGTAAGGTCAACACACAGATGTTGTATAATCCTGTCCTGGACATCAGGAACAATCAGTTTTTCTCCTCCATGCGGCAGACTAAAACCCTCCACATCATCATCAACAGTGTTTTCTGATGAGGGCAGTTTTCTTTTTCTTCTTAACCTTTCTCTCTCTAGGAAATTTAAAACACTGCCTTCTGTGTTTTCAGATAAGTCTCTACCATTGTTTTTTTCATTAAGAAAATGAGAGCTCTCTCCTTCACGAGCAGAATTAGTTTCCTTTTTGCTTGTTTCTCTAATAGGGATATGTGAATACTCTCTTTTGGTGTAGGAACAATTTTTCCATATTTCTGCATTTTCATCATTAGGCGAACATCCTTTTATGTTGGACACATGTCTGTCATTTCTGTGTACAGCAGGTGATGTGTCATATTTGTCTGGAAAATGATTTTTTGTGACTTTTTGGGTCCTGTTGAAAGGCAACCATCTGTTAGTCTGTAGATCAAAAGTAGAATGTTCTGTTTTCTTAAGGAGAGAAGTGTTGTCCGCTACTGCAAAATATACAAATAAATAAATATATAAATCATACTGAAACATAAAATGAAATTAGTAATTTGTCCATTATTTGTTTTAACCAAATGTTTAAATCATTTCTTAACTTGAGGCTTTTATCAAATGCATATATTCAAAAGTTTCAAGCCATAAGAAAACAAGTGCACATACACAAAGATCTTGCTTTCTTCTTTGGTTGAACTTGAAGAAAGGAAAGGATCCGCCGTTGCTTTGCATCAGGAAGACAAGAACTATCTCCACTAGCTTGTGGAAGCTGACATAGAATAAACAAAAAATACAATAAATAAAATAAACTCAAAATCAATATACAGCTCACTTTAAGATCTTACTTTGCTACTGACTACAGGTACTGGAGGTAGAAAAGGTGAAGCAGAATAAGAACTAAAAACCAACGTAAACTATTACAAAAACCCACTGAACAGCCAGCAATTGTGCCTGCAAGACAAGCACGAGTGTAAATGCGTTCAAGAGTGACTTTGCCAACGTATTGTTAAAATAATCAAGCTTCGAAATTTCTACTTATGGACTCTCTCTCTCTCTCTCTCTCTCTCTCTATCTCTCCTCCACTTCCTTCCTTTCCCTTTTAACCAAGATGCGAGCGGGCTTAATTAATTTTCGCCATTAATGGCATGTATTAACTGTGAAGAGAGGGTTCAACAAACACAGCGCTTTGTCGAGCTTTTCACTACTCCAGCTTACTAAAATGCTACCGTAGATGAATTCATTCATTAGCCTTTTACCTTATTTTTATCTCTTGTAGTCAGCCATCCGTCCATTTTGGGTTAATGTACCACGAATTCCGCGTCTTCGATTATTCAACGCTATTACGTGAAAACCCTAGTTTTACATTTCCCGCCAACCGCGCCACCTATAGTTATCTTTGGAGAGTTCTTTTCTACATGGAGTCCTGAATGCAACCCGGTTGTAAACACACCTGCAGGTAAGCACATGACTTCGTTAAGTTTTTTTTCCCCGACGAATTGTGGTTCAATATGGTACGCTTGAAATTGCTTATTATTTAAAGGATAATTTAAGGAGTAGTTTATTAGCATTGTTCTTAATACTGGCCTACAAATACGCACTTAACTGCTATAAAATAAAGACATTTCAAAACTTGGATGCGAGGCCAATACGCAGCAGTGTCAACCTTTGGAATTGGGGCAGCAACAAATGATGGTGGCTTAGTTGGAGAGCTTTATCATGGCGCTGTGAAGGACGTTGAAATTATTTTTCGTTCCTTATTTTGTTTGTATATTTATCCTATATTCATATAAATGTTTGCTGGATTAATTGGATTGCCTAATAATTTTAGTGTAATTAAGTTTTTTTAGGCTGACTTAAAACTTTTTTATTGAGAATAAAATACTGAAACTTAACTACATTAATTGTAGCCTGCACTAATTTTGTACACTGGGCCCAGTTCTCACGTGTGACAGCTAACCTTGTTATAAAACATCTGCATTGTGCTCATGTATGAAAACAGTAGTATTTTGCCTTTTATAAAGTGTTGATCGTTTTATACAGATTAAAGAAATAATAGAAATGGACACATTTAAGAGTACATGTAAATTCTAGAGTATAATCCAGCAACACCACAGTACAAGTGAATGTATTTTCAAAACTTTGTTTGTTTGTTTTTTTCTCACAGATGATCTCACTTTGAGCAATGGCCAGTAGTGGGCATGACAAGACAAGGCAGTATGTGATGAGTGTTGATTTTGGCACCACCATAGTCAGGTGCCATATCTATGACCAGCAGATGTCTGTCAAGGGAGTCAGCAGCAAGAAGGTAAGCCACGCCCCCCAGCTCCAGTTCTCCTACCCCTTCCCTTAAGCCCTCCTTAGCCGCATTCCTGCCTTCTACTACGGCCCTACTCCCTCTCTCTCTCCCTCTCTCTCTCCCTCTCTCCCTCTCTCTCTCTGCAAGTAGCCCTACCTCCTCTCTTTAGCTTTCTCTAGCTGCACTCTAGC